TTGTAAGTTGAGCGCAGCGTAATTGAGGACGCAGACACGAGTACGGGAGGTGTAGTACATGCGATGCCATAAGCACGAGCTGCGGGCACAGCGACTTATATGGAAAGGACAGCGGCTTCGTCGTTGCAAAATCAATCTGGTGAAAGCTCCAGGATCTAGCCGAAACTAAACAGCGATGCACAGATATATGGCGGCCAGCGAATAAAACGCGAAGAGAAGGCACGCCTTCAGGAGAGTCGGGCGTCCAGATACACCTCCGCATAAATGGGTATATTGCTTTAAAATGTCATTTAATTACAGTTAAAATTACTTTGCTCCTGAAGTACTTTAACTGCAATGATATCCCTACCGACATCAAATGTAAACCCAATATTTTGCCATCCTTAAAGAAGTATATAATTAATTTGCAAGCCAATGAGTAAGTCCAGTATTATACGTCCTGTCTGTATTTTTCAGTTAGTATGTATGTTGTTTTCTGTATACTTTGATATGTGCGTACATTTGTTTTGTTTGCCTGCCGCATTGTAAAGGTTATTTCTAATGTTGGACCCGCGATTAGCCTCCACGGCTATAGGTCTAAGCAACGAATGAGTATTTAAAAAGAATAACAAAGGAATAATAAGAAAGAAAGAAAGACCATAATAGACCGATCTCACCAGCCAGTTTGACTACGCCACCGCTGCCGCAATGCATCCAGGGAACTTTAGTCTTTCTGCACGTGCGACAACCCCACTGGAGCTCTGCGCGAGTGGAGCACGAGACGACACGAGCCCTCGCGTGCACGGCCGCCTGCCTTCTGTGAACTAAAGTTATGGCGGCGTCACGCATGCGCCGAACGCTTAGTGAGATCGGTCTATTACAATTACTATTACATGAACAAGAATTAATAACAATTACAAATTACTTTTAAAAGTAATGCAGTTATTTTACAATTGCTTATTTTTTAGAGTGACCCAACTTGGGGCAATATAACTTTAAACCAGTTGTTCAGAATACAACGCATTTTTTTTTTTCATTTCTTGCTCCAATGTTTCATGAGGCTTAAGCATCGCAGTATAAATGTCCCGTAGTGTACTTTCCTTTTATGAATTTTGTTAAATGAATGATATAACTTTACAGTTTGGAGTAATGAAGTCCTGCGTTCTTATAATTTCAATAAATAATAATAAATTAGCACATATTCTAGAAGACACCTGATTCCTAAAGTAAAATTCGGTTGACATATTTTTGTTAGCCAGGCAAATAAAAATCTGACAATTAGTCCTATCTAAATATTTTTATAGTGTAAATACAAAAATACAGTCCACCCCCCCCCCCCCGCCCCCTTCCCACGTGACTAAGACGCCTGGTTACCAGGCGTCATTGCTGCGTTTGGACACGGGCCACTACCCGAATGCTTGTCGAACTGTTGATTATCACGAGCCCAAACTGTGTGTCCACGCAATGTTCGGGTCATCTGTGAGTCGCGTTCAAATATCGCCACTGAGGGGGGGTACTGCGACTTTTTTTCGAGCTACGTCATCGAGTTTTGCGAACCAGAGTTTGCGAGACCACGCTCGCCAATTAGTCATTAAAATTACACTGCAACAAAGGAGTTTCTTGGTCAGTGGCATTGCGTGCGAGTATACCTGAGTCCCACTAATGCCAGTAAGCTCGTCTAAAGTGAAAATACATTCCAAGCGATATCGTGGCACGGCCCCTTTATTAAGTTAGGTCTTACACATAAGCTTTTATCTTTCATAATTAAAAAAGCAGTAGAATTGCATATTACTTAATACTAACGTTCAGTAACTGCATCACAGCAGTTAGCGACGATTTAAAAGTGACAAGTTCGAGTCACGAGCTTAGCTGAAGAGGTGGGCTGCATATAGAGTTGCATCACGAGGCATCCCACGGGACCTGTGCAAGTCCCGGCACATCTTCGCTAAAACCAGCTATACGGGTAGAAGCCGAGGGAGAGGAGGAAATGAGAGCGCGCAGGGACTCCAGAGCGTCGAGCTCTGCCTGCGATGATTAGGAGGTAGAGGCAAAGTCTCGGTCTGTACTCACCGCTCGGACGCGTTCAAAGAGTGAGTATAGAGATAAAGGCAGCTGGCCTTGCTCAGTTTCTTTCTAGCTGCATTCTCGAAAAAAACTTATTTCTGGCAGTGAAGCCACGGGTTCCTGTGCTCTCATGCACTTTGAACGCCGAACAGAAGCTGTGTACGCGCGGTTTTCACTTCTTCCGGAAAGCCAGAAGAAGATGCTGCGCAGTACAGATCCAGGCTAACGCGGTCTGGCTTCGTCTTCTGTTGAAAGACAATTTCTAAGAAAGAAAAAAACGTTCTGATTTAGGATATGAACGTCCATTCAAACGTCGTTCGCGCAAGCATCTCCGAAACCTTACAAGTTTCGAAGAGTTTCTTTCCAGCCGTTTGATATCGTTATTTTCCGAGCGTCGTTTTGCCAGCTTTCGTGGGTCTCTAGAGATGATCGTCAAAATGCCAAACACCCAATTCTTTTCTTTTTCAGGACACGAAGCCGTATGGGTGACTCAATATAATGATGAATAATAGTTTAAAATTAACCGGTGTTGTTATCGGTGTCCGCTCGTGGTGGTTAATAAGACTGTTCTCGCCCTCTTTTTAACATGCGGCCGCTACCTCCCGATGTGATTTGTTGATTGTAATCTGCCTCGTCATGTGGCGGCCTTGACGGCAGCTCTTCCCATTTGTGGAGAAACAGCGAAATAGGTACAACAATTGGTAAAACAAGTTTAAGAACCTAGAATTGCTCCCTTTTACAAGGTATCCTATTTTATAGGACGCCAGTGTGGCGACCTCACACGGCCGGGCGTCACGGCAAACGGTCGTGCAGGAAGCAGCAGACAGAATCGTTTCAGTACACCACGGAATTGGACTGATTTTTTTCAGCTTAGGACACGAAATCCTAGAAAACAAAATGACCTTTTATTTTAATTTATTTTCTATAATTTTACAGACAGACATGTTGAATACCTCGTTACAAATCTTTATTTCAGCCTTGAAATAACGTCCATAAGCGAACAGTACCGGACAAGACTGCCCAGTTTTCCTATAAACTGATTCTGTTTGGTGGATTGGCTAACTTTTGTGTTCATTACGTTAAGCCTAGGTCACAATACTTATACATCGTACAAACGACAGTCTGCATACAGATTGGAATGCGAGATACCGAGAGCGGCGTGGCAATGAGTTCCAGGCGTAAACTTGGCACGCGGAATTCGAACCGCGGATATTGCGCGGTGACTCGGCTTTGCAGACTGTCTTTTGTCTGATAGATGAGCAGCGTAACCCTGGCGTCAGTGAAACTGGACCATAAAAGTTTCAGCAAACGCTTCCACTCTCCAGGTAGTACGCGTTGCAGACAATCACAGTGTCCTCATCGTGTCACGGTTGTTTTTCGAGAATCATCCCCTTAAACAGCTTCATGGTTTTGCCGCTACTGGAACCATGCCCTCAGTGAGTGCGAGGCCCTCATATCAGGTTCACATATTGGAAGCGTGACGCTTTCTTCATTCCAGGATACTCGGACGTCACCGTGAAGATGAAACGCAACTTGACTCATAATTATGCCACAATAAATTTTCATCCAATACTTCGTTGCAGCATTGTGGAATGCACGTGCTTTTGCCAAATATCTATTTTTACAAATCCTTTAGGAGAACTGCGCTATCGCGCCTTTTATTTGTTTAGCAATTTTCGGCACAAGAAGCTTTCTAAATAGCTCTTTATATAAGTAAACCAGATGGGGAGGCACATATTACTTTTTATCCGTGATAAACTTCTCCATTCACTATGCCTGAGGGTTGCGAAATGTTAAGATTGATGAAAGCATGAACAATTATTTTCCCGTAAACACCTTGCACTGCGTGATACATGTTAATTACACGTGGTTTCCTGTTCGCTGCGGCTATTTCACCCGACAGGTATAGTAGCCGCCAGTGGTGTTTTGAGGCTCTGTGAGGAGAATTATCGCACAAAGCCTTTCAGCCGATTCCGGTGAGGATACGTAAACCTTGCCATTTCTTTTCTTTAATTCTCGCCTAACGCGACCTTCCCCGTAAATAATTTTACATGCCGCCCCTTTAAAGTACACAAATGCGGTCAATTTCATCTACATTTCAAACGTGCTCACCATTTTTCTACGTGAAAAATCGGACTCTAAAAACTGAAGCGAGCAAGGAGTCACGACAGCCATTTGTCCGAAGCGCTATGTGCATTTAGTGCATTGTCACCGCAAAGCCGGTCACGTGATCTCAACATCCATATTACGGATGAGTTAAATGCTAGAGGAGATACCCGCATTAATCAGCTAACCGGCCCATGGGCCGGTTTGCTGGTCACTAATGGGGGTTTCACTCCGGGTGGATAAAACATCCGCAAAAAATATTTTCTGGTCAGATGAACGACTTCGTTGGTCAAGGTGTCTATGGAAAACTCCGCATCAACTATTTCACGGCACGTTGTCAAGGCTAACGTAGATTCCATCGTGGGGCAGCCCTGTACTGCTGCGAGAGCACGCGGCTGGTTTTGCGTCTTGCTCGCAAGCGCTTTCGTGCGAGGGAGACGTCAAACAAAGCGACGCGCTCGCGCACGTAGCTTTTACAGCGTTAGAACACTTCGGAACCTACGCCAGTCTTGACTTTGCAGAAAAAAAAATATTCGACGCCAAGACAACTAAATGCCTGGCGTTCCTTCCTCGCTTCGATTATTCAAATCCGAATCCGCACCCAGAAAAATGTTGAAGAGGCGTGAACTATAATTGAAATGAACCGACCTGCTTTTGAGCTATATAGCTCGAAGGGTGACCAAACTGGCGCTGTCGAAATCCCTTAATGTCTACCTTTCTATTTTTACTATTTGCCAAGTTTGATTGTTTTCAAATGCGTTGTAGGCTTTTTTAGCTTATTATTGTGCAAAGAAGTACAGTAATTCAAATAAACAATTTTTTTATTATTATTTTGTTTCTCACTTTTTCAGGCGTCTCCAGAGACATCACAGTCAACTTCTTCGGCGACTCGACCATTTCGTGCACCCACACGGGCTTTGCGGATATCTACAGGTGTACCAGGTACCCTACCTTACTCTCTCCTCTTTAAATAGTACCGAGCAGTAATATTCGCACTTTGCGTTCCGTCATTCACTGAACGGTAAACATCCTGCAGCCCTGAAATGCTTTTTTGTCTAAGTTATTATAGAGGATAGGACAGGTTCCACAGTGCCGCATTCCCTACTGCTACAGTGAGTACGAGGAAGTGGTTGGACGGGCGCGGCAATTGACATGAGCTCGTGAGGCCACGAGCGTAGACAACAGGAGCACCGCTGGAGTCGTTAGTAGCGGCGAGATGCTTCGGTAGCGCCCTCGTTTGGTTACCTTCCGTGACGTCATTGCCCTGTGAACAAAAAGTTCGATGGTGTTTGTAATGAGCATGGTGGAAGACTGAAATCAGAGCGCTCTCAAAGCAACACTGCCAACACCGTCAAAATTGAAGTTCTTACATTCCTCTTATTTCCGTCGATGAAAAAACCTTTGCTGACGTCATAGTCACCATTCGGCCAATCGTAGAAGGCCGACCACAGCGACGCTTTTGATCGCGCACGTTGCCAATAGCTCTAGAAAGTCGCTGACGTCGGCCAAGTTCGACTGAGAGTGCGTCAGGAGTCGATCGCCACCGTTCGGAACGCTGTTCTTTTTGTTGTGCTTATTTTACTCGTTACTTGTGTCTGCAAGCTGACCACAATTTTCTAGTTTCGTGTATTTGATCAAAACATGTTCTGACTTTGGTGTGGTGTTCGAATTGTGCGAACGGTGGACGCGCAAAGGTAACGTCAAAGTGCCGCTGGGGAAACAGCGACAGAAGAGTTGCTACACGTCCGACTGCTAAGGGCGCTTACTTGAAGGGTGAGAGCACGGCGTGTCTCTCGGCGTTCAAAACGACAGTCGCAAGAGATATCTGAGAAAGGAACTTGCAAAGACGGAAAAAGTGCCTCGAAGAAACAAGAGTGCTTTACAAGCTGCATTTAGGACCCGCTTCATCCTTTACTATTCACTGTATCGCCTGATCAGAAAAGCGTGCGATATACCGACCGACACCTAGCTTTCGTATTCTCGCACTTACCGCCGTGCACGCACGCACGTAGCAGTGAATGTGCCGGTGTCGATAGCTGCTATGATCTATGCCACGCAGCCGTGCGCCCCACGCCACACACTCCGATCCCAACGCTACTGCTCGAGCACGCCGTTCTTCTAATTCGCGTGCGCTCGCGCAGGTAGCTTTGAGAGCGCTGTTTCCGAGTCACATCACAAAAAGTAACGGGAGCGCACTAGGGTGCCTCAATGTCCTTCTGTTAAGGGGTATTCACACGAGGGAGAAATCCCGGGGATTTCTCCCCGACACGCGCGCATCACGAGATGAAAACGCGAGGCTTTTGCACTCGCAAAGCCTGACGTTTTCGTCGTGGGATGCGCGTGCCGGGGAGAAATCCCCGGGATTTCTCCCTCGTGTGAATACCCCTTTAAGGGTGATGCCACCCTTTGTAGTACCCGATGCCGACAGCATGCGCTCACGGGCAAAATACAAAGAAATTGACGAAAACAAAATGTCGCCATAGCACAGTCAGCGCCACAAACGCGTGCAGGGACACGCTCTTTCACGCGCTTTTGAACAAAAAAGAAAAATAAATGTGTGGGACAAAATGGCGAGATGTCTCCACCCTAAGCAAAGCGCACATGAAGGCGCCCTAGAGCGCACGGGTACCCATTTTTACGCGGTATAGAGCCCTTATTAACCAGCCTTTACGCGGGAACGTTTGCAAGTGCGACCCCCGGTACTGCCATCTTGCTGTTTACATGTGTAGATCACCTGGGCCGGCCTTCTCGAAACATCGTCTCAGCTAAGTTTTTCTGAGGGAGGGCCTATACCATGCAAGCCTGCGGCGCGCGAGGGCTTGAGATCCAGCTTCGAGTGCACTCCGCTTTCGCGGTAGCTTGGGAAGTGTTTTTTTCTTTCTTGACTAGGCCTTATCTAAGATAGCTTAAAACAGTGGATTGACAAGCTAGTTGATTGTTGACAGACATGGTAAAAAAGTAGCGCATAGAAAAAAAAACGGGACGAAGGGGAAGCAAAACACGGGACAAGCGCTATCCAATCTAATAGACCGATCATAGGCGTTCCACGCACGCGTGACGCCGCCATTACTGTAGTTCATAGGAGGCAGACAACAGTTCAGGAGGCAGCTCATGCCGCCACGTGCTCTTCTTTCGCAGGCCCTCAGCGGGGTTGTCGCATGTAGTCGCGTGGGGAGAACTACAGTTCCCAGGGTACGTGGCGGCAGCGGTGGCGGAATTGAAACTGGCTGTGAGATCGGTCAATTCATGGCGAGCAGTTTGGGTGTCGCCGCCCGCTTGAGTTTTTTCACAACCCGAAGGGAGGATACATCAACGTCCTCTGCTAGTGCAAGCTCGTGCAATGCTAAGCTTCTATGCATTATAAGATATCTTGTTAACCTTGCTGCTGGGGCGAGTTGGTTGCTCATATATTAACACACACTACAGCGCACTACCGGCAAACGTACACTCACTCCTTACACACGAAAACGAAAAAAACAATTCAGCGCGGTTCGTTTGAATTTTTTCTTTCTTTTTCGTGAGTAAGGAGTAAGTGTACTTTTGCAGTACTGCGCTGTAGAGTGTGTTATGATGAGCGCTATAAAAATTGAAACAAAACCACGTGGGTAACACGTGCATTACCCAGAGTGAGGTAGGGTGCCTCCATCTGCCGGCCGCTTCCGCTGACAGGGTGGAGACACCAATGGAGCCAATAAAGCGCCACAATATGGCGCCTGACGTCAGTATTAGCTCCGCATTGAGTGTGGGTATGTAGAGTGTGTGTGACAAAGTCGTGGTGCAAAAACGTTGTGTTTAGCGAAAGTTCTGGAAAGATAGACGCAATATGACGCCGGTGAGGACATCGCAAAGTTCGCCACAAAATGGCGGGTGTCTCCACCCTGTCAGCGGAGCGGCGGGCAAAAAGAAAACAGAAGCGCCTCTAGCGAGCTTCTCGCCGTGAATTAGCACTCCTCCTATGTTTTGCTTGTTTTGTGTCTCGCGTTTTATGCGCTACTCTTTTACCGTGTGTTATCTAAGATTTTTTTTATAGCAAGCCGACACTGACATTGGAGCTTTTGCTAATGGTGTGCCCACTGTTGGCAGACCGGTGCACCAAGAAAACGTCTTTTTGTTTGTCTTACACAAGGTGGCTACACTAGCCTCTGAAGCGTGGCTTGTTGCGACCTTGAATATCCATGGTATGTGTAGACGGCACGTGTAGGTTAGGCCCGCCCAACATTACTAGAGCAAGCTCAGTTTCACAGCTCCGCCTGCGACGTGGGCTCAGTGGGGGTCACAGGAACTAGCGGCGCTGCAGTCGAGCCTTGCTTCTGGATTGTCTAGCAGTACTTCAGCTTGGGCGAGTTGTTTATTCATACTAACACTTCACAGCGCAAAGAAAAACAGACTCACACAAAAATAAATTTTAAACACTCTAAGAAAGAACAGTTACAATGCGCTTACCCTGATCTCTCTGGTGTATTACGCTTCATCTTCATCGTCTTTTTTTTTTTTTGCTATTATACACATGGAAATAAAAAAAAAAGGTAGAAAAGAAAAAAAAGGAAGCTCTCAACGCGGTGGTAGTAGACGACGCGCGAGACAGGGAAGCGAGATCCGACTGCAGCGCCGCTAGTTCTCGTGACCGCCACCGGGGCCATTCGCCTCTGCAGGCGAGAATAGGGAGCTACGAAACTGAGCTTGTTCTAGTAACGAAGAGCCCGCCTTAGTGATAACAAAGAGATAGTTGTCGCAACTTTGTGTCAACTTAATTATTGAGGAACGTCAACAAAATTATGCACCTGCAAATGAATGGAGGTTCTGTAAAATACTTTGCCTTATACGAATAGAAGTAAATTAATTTTATGTCCTCTACTAGATTCGCGGCTCAGCCTGCTCATCCTATGCACATTCGACTGGTTGATAAAAACGAGCCAATAGACCTTTCCGGAAAATCCCGGAAGTCATCGCGGCGTCGGAAATTGTGGGGCTTTTCAGACGTAAGCTCGTGCCGACTGGAATGCTTTGTTTATACTGAAAACGGCACGATTAATGTTTTCTTGTCATTAGGAGCTCAGGATGCAGACAAATTAAAGCGAACACAAAAGGATTTTATCAGAAACTTTGTTGCGCTTTTCTTCTGCCTTCTGTGCGTTCTAATATCACAAAATGCGAAACCAACGTCAACTTCGTCTTCTGTTTATAGATTTCACGTGCCGGTACATCGGAACGCCCCAATGCGTCAAGCAGACGGAAAGGGGAGGGGGGGGGGGGGGGGGGGAGCGCTAAAAATTTATGTCTAGGTCTATTATGCCGCATATGCCATTCTTAAGGCCACGGTCCCACTGATTGTGGCAGTTTAGGTACTTTTTGGCAGGTTATTACATCTCCTTTTGAATACTGTTTTGTGGGATTGATGTCATTCGAGAGGCAATGCAATCCTCTTTCATTTGATATTATGTATGTGTTATTTTTTACTGCTCATGCGCATTTGTAGCGTTGCGAATATGATGGCGCGGACCCTCACTTGCTCCGCTAGTTCATGTTTTATGAACGATCCATTAAAGATAACACGGTTCCAATATAGCAGTTTTGTTAAGATGATGTCGGAGCAGAATGTAACGATACACTTTGTTGGTATTTGCACTACTTTGCTTTTTTTCATCCCTCCAAATATTGCCCTAAAATTGACGTTTTCAGCACAAATATGTTTTTAATGACACGCGCTAGGGCAATGAAATTAGCTACAGATGTAGCGCTTATAATTGGTAATACCCAAAAAAAAATTTAATGTTGTGTAAAATTTTTTTGTTTAGATATTTTATATCAAACGTAGCACTTTTTTATGCTTCGAGTCATGGTACTTCAAATGCCGCTGAGGAAATAATTAAACTATGATAAAATCTTTTATAACATTTAGAGCTACAATGGTTGCCCAAGAGGTGGACGATAGCTTTTTTTCA